AAAATTATATATAAATTAAGGAAGTGATTGACCAGAACTTAGTAGATTAGATCAGCAGTGATAATAAACTGCATTACACACTTGTAGCACTGTCTAATCAAGCTGTCAATAGGGTTAGAGGTCAGGTTCGATTCCTGAGTTGTTTGACGTTATGGGTATCAAAGTCACTTGATTAATGTGATCTATATGCACAACTGGAGATCACTGTTTGGGCAAATCTTGTGGTACTATCCTATGAATCCTGCGTCTCTCTATATAGTAGTGATAAAGCCAAACCAAGTAATTGGATCTTGATTATAATTCACTAGACCGTTGGTAAATTTAGTGATGACGTTCACTATGACTGAGATGATTCCTCTATCCAAATTTGACAGTACCTTTAATGCTAAGTACCTATACAGATCCAACATGCGGTTTGAGTTGACCGGTTAGGATGTCATACTTAAATGGAAACATCGAAGGAGATGCACATGACATGGTGGATAACTTAAAAAAATAGGGAAATACCTGAGATTGATTAGGTCCCGCACTTTACTATTAATGGTGCTTAGTATCAACTTGTTGACTAGGTTTAAGTGCAATGGGGTCCTCAATCAATATTGTTGTATCTTTAAAAAAAAAAAAAAGGAGATCAGCTAAAGCGGAGTAGTATTATGTGATAGAAAAGCATACAATGATTGGTTAGAGGTAATAGCAAATGGCATTGGTCAGAAAAATACTTCAGAGATTAATAAATTTATAAAATTAAGTATAATTATTGTTTATTGTTTTATTATTTAAATTGCATGATAATCAGATTTAAAGATGTTTCTAGCATATTTATATATGCTTTTGTTTGTTCAATATTAACTTTTTTTTCAACCTGCCAATATTCATCATGAATTCTTTCAGTTAACTTATTAACAGTAAGTTTTTGATTTTCCATTTTATACATTTGAATCAATTTGTTACATATTCCTTAATAACAGAAGTAATTGCTGATAGAGAATAATTTTTAATTGCTTCTTTTTAACTAACGTTCGAATAGCTTGTAAACATTTAATTATATCATTATCTCTTAAATCATGTGTGTGATTAGGTGAATTATTATAACATTCAATTTTAATAATATTTAAAGAAACTAAATATGTTATTTTAATTTTTGCTGACAAATATCTAAAGGTCAGATTGATGTTTTTCGACGTTTATTATTTGGAATATTTTCCTTTTGTCATTTACTTGACTCTTAATGTTTCATAAATCGATATGCAAAAACCTTTCAAGAATCACTATTGACAAGTTTTCATAAATTCTATTATATCCAAACATTTGTAACTAAAGACCATCTATTAAAATCTTTAATTGGAATTTCTAAGGTATTATTTATATTAAAAGAAAATTCTGTCTTTCATCTGTAGTAAAATTATTAAGGAAGAACTGATTGTTAAAGTGCGATGAAGGTCATAATTTGATCATAACAGTCTTAATATTTAACCTACATTTTAGATATAAGGGTTTTCTTTTTAACTTTGAATTGACTTATTTCTATTAAGGTAAAGGTACTGATTCTGTGAAATTTTGAGAAAAAGAGTGTTTTGCATTGATATTTTTTTTATACTGTTTTTTTTTAAAGACCAGTCAGTAAAAAAAAATATATAAAATTGAAAGTTTTACATAGCTGACCTAAAAAAAGCTATGATACTTTCTAAAGATTTTAGCTTGCATGATATATTTCTTTAATACTAACATGAAAAAAAAGGTTTGTATCTAATTTTTTGGCCAATGGCATTTGCCATTACCTTTAACCAATCATTGTATGTCTTCCTATCATATGATACTACTTCACTTTAGCCGACTCCCCAAAATGATAATAAAATTGATTAGCAAAATAGATACATTGACGTCATAGTTTATTTAATTCATTTTATTTATTTATTTTATTATTTTTATTGTATTTATTTTATCTATTTTATTTATTATCTTATTTTTCTGTATTTCCTTTATTTAAATTGTTATAATGATATATAGAATAGTTTTTATATAAATAAGAGCAGTTTAGGATTAAGTAGTGATAGGTTTTCATAGGTTTTTTATAAGTTTATTTTAGTAGTTATAAATTCTTTAATAAATAAACTGTTTAGTACAGACGCGTTGACAAAGGCAACACTATAATTTTGTTTGTTAATTATTTATCTTACGCGTATTTATCGTATTTCTATTATACTTGTAAATCTTTAATTATATTTCTTATCTTTTTTACGAAGGAAACCTTTTACACTTGTATATATATCACTTATTTTGTCGAGCGATTTAAAGAACTGACGTAACAATAGTAAAACTTTGAAATAACTTAAAATGCATTATGTTTATAATATGAAAATAAGTAAAAAAAAAAGCTTATAGATAAATTAATAATAAACTTAAATATTGGTTTATGTTATATGTCTTATTTCTTATTATGAAAAAGTATTATTATTAATATAGAAGAAATCTACAAATATTATCTTAAAGTAATTAAAGAGGATAATCTAAATATTTCAATAGAAAAATCAAAATAATAAGAAGTTGATGATATATGATGATAAGTTATTATTTTAGAAAATCATGTAATGAAAAACTAATTTATTTTTTTCATGATATAATTAAAATAAAAATTGCTAACAATATAACCTTTGCTTTTAATACCTTTATTTTAATAGAAACTGGTAGCAAATATATATTATATATTAGCTTAATATTTTGAAATATCATTAAATGTTAGTTTAACTGATATTTGTGAACATATTATTAGATAAAAAAACTATTTAATAATCCATTTCCATTGGTAGAGTATCATCTGCATCGGGATAACCATCAAAAGAAAATACAGAACCCATCTCTCCTTGATGATCTTCATCCAATTCAACACCAAAAGCTGAGCCTTCTCCATCAACGTCTATTATATTATCTTGATGTACTTCTGAACTAGTAGCTTCTGCATTTGCATCTTGAGTATTGTTGACTGCTTGCGGCGTAGCAAGTTCTTCAGTATATCGGGAAATAATTTCCAGTTCTTCTGGCTCTATTAGATTATGTAATGTTAATTACATTGTTACTATGAATATTGTAATAAAAAAAATTATTTTACCTATAGGGATACGCGTATCCAATGCTTTATAAACACGTAATGAATTAAATTTACGTTCTCTTTTATATTTGTTTTTAACTTGATCACGAGATTTTCTATTATTAAATATTTTTCTCGATATGATCTCAAAATCAGTTCCCCAACGTGACAATGCCTAAATACTTTATTATTAAGTAATAATTACTATACAAGTAACGACTTTTGTTTAACTTTACATTACCTTAAAAAATAATTCAGTATCTTCGATTGTCCATCTTTCATTTTTTCTTGGTTTTTTAGAGTAAGTAAATGAATTTACAATATGAGAAAATTTATCTTCCTCTATAACTTCCATTCCTTCGTCATTTTCGTAAATATGTGACCGCGAATCTAGTTCTTGACGAACTGTATATTGTCCATCCGCATTTACAAATCTACTACCACGCGTTGAAAACACGCGACTTTTTTATTTTTTTAAAAAAAAATAAAAATTTAATTCAAAAAAAAAAAAATTATATTATATCAATGATATATTAATTACCGTTTCATAAGAGTTGGTTTATCGTTTTGAACATTAGAATTTTCGTCTTGTATATTTTCTTCAATGTTTTCTTGCTGATATTCCTCATTTTCGTCGTAATTTTCATATTGAATCCAATTTCCTTCTTCATCTTGTTCCCATTCTCCATTTTCATCATAAAACTCATCATCATCATAATTTTCATTTTCATTATTATTAATATCTTCATTTTGTTGTCCATTTTCGCCTTCATCTTGATGATCATCTCTTGAAAAAATTTGATCTTGTTCTGAAATATTAACATCTGCTAAATCATGATTTTCACCTTCCAAATGTTGAGAAATCAAAGTTTCACTTTCTTCTACATTCAATTGATCATCCTCTCCAGTATTATTAGCAACCGTCCGTTGCCTACGCTTTTGTTGCGATTTTTGATATTTAGCATATTCTAATTCTTTATAAGTATTAGATTTACGACCTCTTTTTAGATCTTTACATAATTCAGCCATTGTAACTATAGAATCATCAATAGGATTTTCATCTTCAGGAGCATCTTCCCAAGGTTTCACCTTACTTTTATTGGTTTGCTGCTTACGAGTAGTAGAACGTGGTTTACGTGGTTTGCCTCGTCGTTTTTTGCCGGTAGTTGTAGAATTACTTTTTGTAGAACCATCAGTATTAGTTGAAGATGTTATAGATGTAACAGAACTAGAACGTTTACGACGTTTTGATTGTTTCGATGATGATGATGTTGCTAATGAAGAATCTTCGGATTGCTCATCATCATTATTTGATCTTGTTCGTTTCTTACTACGAGAATTGGGTGTTTTACGTTGCCTTAATCGGACTGATGAATCTTCAGTTGCAACATCCGATTCTTCTACAATCGTATTTTGGGACGTTGTTGCATCTTCACTATCTTGTCGAACGACTCGTGATTCAACAACACTTTTGTGAGAAGTGATGGAATTTGAGGAACAGGATGATTTAACCACCGAATCGTTGGTAAATGAAAGGATAACTTTTGGGCTTGTAGGAAATTTTTGAAGAGATCGTCTTTGCGTTAAGTCTTCGGAAGATTTAGATTGTTCCACGCTAGAACGTGTTGTTGCTTGTGACATAAATTGAGAAGCTTCCATCAAAATATCTTGCGGTGCTTGACTGACCACATCAATTGTGCTCCCTTCCTCGTTTATTACAATAACATCTGGATTCGCTTCATATTGAGTAGAAGGTATTGTGTTATCATTTATATCGAGTGGCCGAGTTTCCATAACAGAGATAGTTGAATCATTATTTTCTTGAATTCGTGACGATCTTTGACTGATAGGAATTGATTGTCTCTTTTCATTTTCTCCTCCACTTACATCTTTATTACTATTATTTGTCTCCTGTGAATTCGAAGACTGTGGTATGATAATTGGATTCGGTCCTATTTGTTTTCCAGGAATATCAATAATTGTTCCTTTCGACTTACCTAAATTAAATACAATATATGTAAAAAAATTTGAAATTCGACATGGCTTTGAATAATTATCATATTACCTGCTTTTGAACGGATTAATGACTTTGAATGTCTGAACATTGAATTCAATTGTCGGATTATTAAAAAAATCGAATGCAATATGCACAATAGGCTTAAGTAATCGCTATTGATAATCATAGGAATTGACATATTTAGTGAATCTCGACTACTATATACAGCAACTAAGTTATTAGGTTTATGATTTAGCAAATGATGTTTCTATATAACGAAAAATATAGGTCTAATTGTTTAAAGGGCATGAATCAATTAATAACTTTTAAAATGCAAATCCATGTGTTCCCTTGTGATATTAATTGAGCCAAAAAATTGGGTTTATCTCTAACTATTCAGATTCAAATATGGCATACAATACTTTGGCACAATTAAAAATTGAATACTTGGTGTCCATTTGTCAGAATAAGTAATTTTATGCTTTTGAAAACGTTTATAAATATTTTGAAGTTCCTTCAGACATTTGTGGTCAAGATTCCTAAACATCCTAAGAGATTATAACTTGATATATATTATCCTTTGCGATTAAAGTTTAAGGTTCTCAACATGAACAATATATCGAATTCTTCACAAAGATCTTAATAATTTTATCAAGAGATTATGCGAAGTAAATTGGATTGCCTTAAGGAATGTTTGGTATTATATATAGCATCTTCGAGAATTGGATAGAATTAACACTTTAAATGGTTTTGTGATTCGTTTAGATGATTGTTATACAAGTTTGTATTTAATATTAATATACAGTAAAATTATCTATAACTATATTACATTTTATTTCTTAAATTATTATATAATTTTTCTATCAATTGCCTTACTAAATAACTTTTTGCAAGAATATTTTTTAATGCATTGCAATTATTAGTAATATAATATAAACTCTCTATTTGCTATAATATTCTTTTATAATATAATATAATATTAAATCTTGTAATAATAGTATAAAAATAATAAATAATATAAGATATTCAAAGCATATATTTTTTCGGTTTCTAAAGTACTCTTATCTTAAACAAAGTTATAAAAAATTTTTTTTAAATTATTATAATTATATGAGTATTAATATATTTGATTTAAAATGATATTTTAAAATAATTTAAACCTTTTATTTTATAAAATTTTATTTTATAATGGATTTTGTTTGTAATGTATTAATCTTTCAAAACTTCTTAAAATCATTATTTACTAAAAATATTTTATAATAAATATAATAAATATTTTATTATTTTTATAATATAATATGACTAAACTATTATTAATTTTATTAAATATATATTTGTAGTTAAATAGAGCTTTTTGTTAAAATATATAAATTTTGTAAATCTTTTTTAATAATTCAATTTTAAAATAATATAACACTTTTTTTATAAACTAAATAAACTAAATATAAATATTTTTATAATATATTTTAATTTATAATATATTTAATTTTAAATTAGTAAATGATTAAACTTTAGAATAATTGAGATTATTTTATTTATTATCTAATAAAAATTGATTTTACATAATAATTTTTTTTTATGAATTATATAAAATTCTAATTAAATATTATTGATCAATAAATTTATTATATATTTTATCTGTTAATATATATATTAATTTTATAAATACTTTAAGTTTTTTTTAATTATTAATATAAAAAATAATATATATAAAATATAATTATTATATATGCTAGAGTTTAATAATATATAGTCAAATCTTAATATAGCGAATTCTTGATATAATGAATTTTTAAATCAAATATATTAAATATACCTTACTATAGTAAGCCAGCCTATTAAATTCTTTAAAAAATTTATTATAAATAAAGATGGTACAGCAATTGATTTCAAATTTACAAAATGTTGCAACATAAGCTAAAATTAGTTGCAACATATGTTGCAACATTATAAGTTGCAACATATATAGGTTTAAACTAATTGCAACATAAGTTGCAACATTAAAAGTTGCAACATATTAATTACAGTTCCCATCTTTAATTATAAACTTATAACAAAGTTGAAATCCAGATCCTAGAATTCATTATATCAAGAGTTCACTATAACAATTATTAATTTCTTATAAATTATCTTTTAATTTTTTAATTATAATTAAAAATTAATAATAAAAAGTAATAAATTTAAATAAATAGATTTTTATTTACTTTTATAATATATAAATAGTTTTTTGATAGTAAAAAATTATAGAATAATATTTATCTATAAATAGATATAGAATAATACTAACATATAAATAGTTAATAACCTATTTATAAATAGATAAGTAATATATAATATACAGTATATATATACTTTTAATTATTAAATAATATATCTTGTTAAATCATAATTTTTATATATTAGAAACTAAAGTTTTTATGAAATAATTATTTTATAAATAAAATTTAATTTAAGTTTTATTATTAATTATTAATTATATATATATTATTCATATTATAAAGTATAATTGAAATAGTAATCAATTTATTAATTTATCAATAAAAACTTATAATATATATTATATTAATCTATAATATGCCAAATTATTTTTTAATTATATTATTATTCGAAGGTATCAAAGAATTTTTTTTCCATTGATTATTACATAAAACGATAAATGTTATTAGGTAATTCAAATACAAATAAGTATTTTATTTCTATACGGATATACCGTATTGCACACACAAATGGATGATGTTTTAAATTTTTTAAATTTGAATGATAACGGTTATCACACAAGAACTTGTATGTTAAATTAGGAAATGAAGATATAATTTTATTATTGATTAATTAAAAAATGAAATAAATATCAAATCCTGCATAAAAAATTGCGACATTCATTCCTCCTCTTCCTCTCTCCTTTTAGCCGACTTTTATTTCATAAGGCCATTAAAAATAACTTTTATCTCCGAACAAAGTTATTGTTCCTTAATATCAAAATTCCTCCCTAATCCTTCACTTTAATACAAAAATGACGACTTTAACACTCTCCTTTTCCTCAATTATATTGGCTTTATTAATATTAACCGTTAGCATGATTTTGATTGATGCATCTCCGATATATCGACGTCAAATTCCTGTATCTGAAACCGATATTAGAGAATTTAAATTATGGGCAAAATATGCTAGGTAAGGTATTAAAATCATCTGCTCTATAAGTTATATGCACATGCAACTTATCGCGTTTCGTAATTATTTAGTGCCGCATACTGCGACGTAAAAGATTGGAAATGTGGTAAGGCATGTGAAGGTGATACAGCCGGAACTCGAGTAATAAAATTTTTTCAACAATCGTTTCCAAGAGATAATAATGGCTATGTAGCAATTAATGATAAAGAAAAGGCAATTATAATAGCTTACAGAGGGACGTCCGATTTACAATCCTTTATGCAAGATTTTCAACTTAATCAAACTCCGTACTCGCCATCTGTACCAAATGCCAAAGTACATTTTGGTTTTTATGCTACATATAATGATACGAGAGAAGAAATTACTACTTTAGTTAAACGATTAGTCAAAGATAATCCTTCTTATAAAGTTATTTCTACAGGACATTCCTTAGGAGGAGCTTTAGCAGTATTTCAAACCTTAGATTTAATTGGTACACCAGGGTTAAACCCTTCTAATCTTTTAACCTATACTTTTGGCGAACCGCGTGCTGGAAATAATGCTTTTTCTCAATTTATCATAAATTCTGGTTATAAATTTTTTAGAGTTGTAAACCAAAACGATCTTGTGCCTCATTTACCTTCTCGTAATCTTAAATACATTCATTATGGTCCTGAATATTGGATTAATCCAAAAAAGGACATTGTTTTCTGTCAAAACGCTGAAGACAAAAGATGTAGTTCTTCTTTGCCTTTTAAATCTCTTGTTAGACATGCTAGATATTTTGACACGATTTTCCTTTTAACTTGTCTTGTTAAAAAATAGAATGTAGTTTTCACCTTCCTTAATTATTGTTCTTTATATAGAAAATTAGAGCGCATTTTTCTACCTTCCTTAATATACATATTTATTATATTTATTATAACTTAGAATTTAATTATAACGTAAATAATATAGATAGGATAAATGATAATTAAACATTCAAGAATGATAAAAATTCAAAGCATATTATTACTAGATTATTTTAAATAAAGTATTATAAATCTTTTATAATTACTATATTTTTTTTCGAATTAAAATCTATACCTCCATAACTCAAAATCACATCCTAAATTATGAAAAATTTGCCAACCTAGACCGATCTCTTAAAATAATCTTAACAAATAATATTTTTTAAAAAAAAAATATGTTCTTATAATAATAAATAACGAATAAAGAATGTAATACATGATAACAAATTAATAAATTATAGTTACAAATAATTTAGCTATTTTTTTTTTTTAGAATAATATTACGATATAAGATATTATTAAAATATTTTAATAATAAAGACTATAATTTAAATAAAAAGTATATAAAACACTTAATATAAATTATAGTCTAAACGATTTTAAATTAATAGCTTAATTAATTCAGATTATGAAATAAATTGAAATCTAGTGGTATATATCACTTAGTAGGAATGATAAATGGTCCTAAACTTCTAAAAATCCCAATAAATTTACCAGTTTTAGAGAAGATTTTACATTCTAATGATGGTCAAAATTTATATTATTGAACCATTTAGCTGATCTTAGTCACATATATAAAATTAGCTTAATTAAGATTTTGGATTTTCATATAAGTTTAATATACATTTTTAAAAAATATTTAATTAATACCAAAATTTGGATTTTCCCTTTTTCTAATGATCATAAGTATTTTGCAATAAAAAGGTATGAAACTCTAAAAAATGAAAATTTTATTTTATAAGCTAAATAATTTTTTAGTAAAAATAAGTTGAGATTTAATATTAACTCAAAAAAAATTTATTGTCAATTTTGTATTTTTTTATTATAAAGCTTTTATATATACAGTATATTAATTAATAAAACTTAAAATTTTAGTTCATATCTAAATTTTACTAGAATAGATCATTAAATCATTTTTTACTTAATATAAAAAAAAAACCAAATTATATTA